GTGTTTCCCAAAGTTGGTCGGGACCCAAAGTGGGGTCCCGACCCCAACTTTGGGAAACACTGTTCTAACACATCACATCATTCGTACAGTCGTGTTTTAACAGTTCTAGCCTTTGAGTGTGAAAACCCTGGGCAAAAAAATCAGCAAAACTAAATATTTGTTCACTGTTTGACTTTATAAACATTGTTTAATATTTATGCATGGGTTACATACCCGTTTCTGCAATTACCCCGATTTTCAGGTACTTTGAGATTTATAGATGAATCCTTAATGGCTGCTGCCAAAGGTTGAAAATGAACAATATTGGTTTTGGCCCTTGTCTGTGTGGTTATATTTTTGGGTCTGTTTGCAAAATTCTTCTTGAACAACTGGATAGTTTTTAACAAAAATAAATAAATAATCATTGGATCTACTTATACAGCTGATTTTTTTTTGATTCAACAAGAATCAAGACTTCTGCCACATCTAACTAACTTTAAAAAACACAGAAGAAGTTATAATTAAATCAGTGTTGAGCTATAATGTGTTGTAGTAGCTGAGAGTGATCCAAACATACTCCGATCACTACCAGACTGTGCAAGATCTGTGTTTAACATTCGCCTATTATCTATTTGAAGTCCACTGACAAYGTCTGTTAGCAAAATRTTATATGAACCTCTGGATGGATTTGAGTGAACGTCAAGGAATAATCACAGAGTGCTCATGTACCACTGATTAATGTTTGGAGTCAATTCAGTTTCAAATGACTGTCACCACTAAGTGACATTAGAAAACATCAGAATAAACATAATTCAGCCAGTTTTATAGAGGCTGAACTTGWTTATAAGTGTTTGGAAAACGTTTAGTTGAAAGATAATTTCTGCCAACACTCATGTGTCCCACACCATAACATCCTCATTCAGTGAGCTCTGTGAAAATTTACAGTGTGGCTCATGTAGAGYAGTGAAACAGCAGCTTCTGATTGGTTCATGCTGGTTAGTAGAAAAACAGAGGCGAAGCTTGTCCTAACTGCCTTCTGATTGGTCAGCGCCACGTTGYAGCGTGTGCTATTCTTAGTCAGGAGGTTAGTTTTCCACTGGATGTTTCCTGTGCTCAGGGAGCTGCAGGCAGTCTGTCAGATGTGAAACTGATCTGTGTTGACTCTGGCCTCTCCTCGTGTCCCCCAGTTGAACTTGGCCCAGCCAGCTGAAGCCATCCACAACTGGATCCGTGGCCACGACAAAGTCCCCGGAGCGTGGACGCTCATTGATGGACAGGTGTGCATTTCTKTTGGGTCTTACAGTGTTCAAAAGTCGTTTGTGAAAAAAAATAAAAATCGACAAAATCAAAACAAACCTACTTGTTTAAGTTCACAAAACGTTGAAGGAATATTTTGTTAATTTTGAACTGAAARGTTACAATCTATGAAAATAATCACAAAGACACCATAAGTTAGTTCACTGAGAGTCAGTAGCTGCATTTCCATTGCAAATGTGCACAAAACTTTGTCGATATTCTGTTAATGTCGAAAAAACACAGTTTTGCAATTGCAGTGTTTCCATTAAAGGCACAGTGTGTAGGATTTGTTGTTTTCAGCGACATCTAGTGGTTGAGTGGTTGAATCA